TTCAAATCTTTTGTCAAACTTGTGGATGAAGTTTATGATGAACGAACCTTGATAGCATTTGAACTGTCCAAGAATTGCAAATATTGGAGATGGCCGATGGTTAGAAAATTCCTCATAGAACGATCCATGACTACTCATCACTTTGATGGTTGTATGTTGGGTGTTCTTGGAAACAACGGTCAACCAATGAAGAAAAGCTGGACTATTGCAGGAAACTTCAAAGAACTTGAAGTGTTAGACTCATTCAAATGTGATGGCAAACATGAGCATGATCAAAGTAGGGGCAAAGCTCTTAAACTTGCTGAGAATTATACCTTCAAGTTGACTGACATGCTCCATGAGTGTTTCCGGGTAGCTGTGGTGGGCCAAACATCCAAAAGGATTTCACCCGCTGTCATTCGTGCCTGTCCTGCTAAAATGGCTGACTCGCGATATGCCACAGCACACCCGGCCAGCCGCGAGGCTGCGCTCGAAGCCACACGTGAGGCTAACAAAGAAGCATGGTTGCTCCTTCACAATCGCATTTTGTTTGCATTGGCCATGCGCAATGAAGGTGAGAATCAGGCTGCTCAGGACCTCGTGGATGGACTGATGACTGAATGGACGCCGGCTTCGGCCCTGAGGTTCTACGGTCGAGAGGATCCGCTTGCAGAATACCTTAGCTTCTGCTTTTTGCCAAAGGAGTCCCACATTGAAAAGATCATGTTGCCAGAGATGCCCGTCAATGATGTAATCTGGATCTTAGTCTCTGACTCGTCATGTGCATTGATCACAGGGCGTAGGAAAACACTTAAGAAGTTTGACCTGTCCGAGCATTACCGGCAGCGCAAGCCTAAGTATGTGACTGAGTTCATCCATGAGATGCTCTGGGGCAAGACTCTGCAGAAGCTGGTCAAGCGTGGGATTGAATTGGCCGCGGACGCCCGCGAGCGCTATCCTGATGCACGCATCAACCTGCATTTGTCCTGGTTCGGAAATGAATTGGTAGGAGAGGATGGGATTGCCCAAAATCCAAATTGGCCGTACGACGGCCCCAACGGGCACTGGCCCACGATCCTGGATGATTGTGAGCGCCACTTGACATGGTTCGTCAACAAGGCCCGGGAGTTGGATTTGCAGTCGGCCGGTCTCACGACCGCGCCTTGGAGCGCAGATTACGGCATCCATCCAATCTTTGACCAGTTCTTTGATGTTTTGGAGCCCCGATTTAAAGCTCTAACCAGCAGCCTGCAAGGGCTTGCCAATCCGAAGTATCCGTGGCTGAAAGCAAAGGGGTACGCCGATGCAATGGAATTCAGAGACCAGTGGCATTTCGCCAACTCTGAAGAAAATCGCACGCGTCTTGCTGCCTATTGGACAGCTACCCTTTTCGCAATTGATTGCGGATGGCGGGTTGGCCGAATTGGTTTGGAGCTTACTCAGTGTGGCCAGGAGACATGGGATGATTTGCGGAGGAACATGAGCGCCGTCCTGGACGAGCTGCCAAGATCCTATCAGGAGACATGTGCAAACATCACCAAGTTGCTTTTTGGAGAGTCCCGAAGACACATCACGCCGACGGGCAGGTCATTCACCAAGGAGGACGTCGAAGCTCAACAACCTGACACTGAGGACTACATCGACACCAAGACGATGCCTTCGGGCACGTTTGCTGAGCCTCCCAAAGATGACCCTCCAAAGGCCGCCGGCGACGGCGAGCCCGCTGCATCCAGCAGAGCAACAATCCTGGTCCAAACGGCTGAGGTCATGTTGAAGTCGCGGCCGAAAGCAGCACCAGCACCATTGGATGAGCCCGCAGATGACAAGAGAGCCACATCCAGCCAGTACCAGCCGCAGGCAACTGCGCGCTTAGAGGGACATGCATCCGGCCACGTGAAAGCATATTGGATGGAAGAGCATTTGCCTGAATACCAATATACAATGGTGACCAATGCAGACGGGGATGATGTGCCCGGTATCCTCTTTGAAGGTACGGCTTATGAGCTGGAGCTGATATCGGCATCCGACGTTGAGACCATTGCTGGCCAGACTCGTGTCGACAAGAAATTTTCTGATTTTGCGACTCGTGTCAACAAAGTTTGCAGGGGGCATGGATCCTGTGCCAAGGTGCCAATGGACAAAGACCTTTGGATTGACTTGGAGGATTTTGCCAAAGCCTTCCGCAAGGAAGTGCCCCCAGATGTTTTCATCACTGTCGCAAACCTGTTTGGCACCGCAATGAAGATCGACAAGCATGGCAAGAGTAGGTTCCAATTCTTGTGTGCAAAGATCTCCCATTTTCCTGTCGACAATGGCCTAGGCATGCCGTATTATCCTGTGAAAATCCGTGCAATTCAGGGTCACTCCGAAGCTGCCTTGAAAACCGCAGGGGGTCTTTATGCCAATTCAACCATGGTGTATTGCTCAAACCAAGTATCCCCCGAGCGAAAAGCCGCCTTCACTGGCGTGCCCTTGTGTGCCATGACTGAGGTCCCTGAGGTTGTCTTCCATCGCACGATGAGAAGCAGCTGGAAGAGCATCGCACAGAACGGCCTGATCCCAGGCGGCGGTGACACAGTCAACAGTGGCCGTGCTCATATCTACATGGCAGAACACTGTATCGGCACACAGGGGTATCGATCTGGATTAAGAGCAAAATGTCCAGTCGAAGTCAAAATCGCAATGCGGCAAGCAGTTGAAGCTGGTGTCATCTTTAGTCGCACAGAAATGGATGGTATTTTGTGTTCAGAACGCATTCCACCGCAGTTTCTGGTCAGCATCTCAGAAGAAGGACAGGTGCTTTGGACCCGCGCCGAGAGCAATCTCGAGCCCAGCTCATGGACAGGCGCGGAATCAGCCTCAGCACCGAAATCCAAAGCGGTCACCCTGACTGCCCGAGATGATGCAAATGACGACCCAATGGATGACACCAGCACGGGGCGACCCGATGCCAAGTCCACTGATGATGATGCAGCCACTGCCCCAATGCAAGTTGACCAGCCGCCCGCAAGGACGCGCCGTGTTTACATTGCACCCAAGTACTGCGAACCTTTCATGGGCTCCTGCCCCCTCTGCCAGGTTGAGTACGTCAGTGGCCAAGTGACATGCACCACATGTGGATATGAACCACTCCCAGTGGACGAAAGTGGCGATACAAAAGAGGCCGACAAACCCAACAGGAGGACACGCATCCTTGAACGGCGAATGCAAAGTCTCGCCGGGTTCGGAATGTTTGGGAAAATGAGCGGAAGCTTGCTGACAGCCTTGACGGATGAGCAAGCCAATCTGCTTCGCCGGGAACTGGGCCCCAGGGGAATCACATCCGTGGAATCAGCAGTCCTCAAAGACTGCCGCGACAGGCATCGACGTGCAAAAGCGCTGGGCTACGAGGACGTGGAAGACAGATACTCCAGCGACGCCACTTTTTGCGACCGCATCCACGGTGAGGGGAAGGACCTGCAGGACTGCATATTCGACGATATGTTCGCATATGGCAACCTCCCCGATCCCCCAAGGACCAAAGCTCAGATCTCGGCTGGCGTCGCCGCCAATGCCCAAAATGAAAACTGCTTATCTAAGTTGATTTTCATGTCCCAGCCTCGAGGTGTTGATGGTTTCCCAGTTGAGTTCCGCAAAACATGGAAGAAGGTCTGGGGATTCATGTTCGGCCGCCACATTTTTACAGAGGATGAATATGTCAGCTACATCGGTCGTCGTGGCGCATTCCGTGGCCTTTTGACCTGGAAGGGCACTGTCCAAGTTCCTTTTGATGGCACTCTTGAATTCCTCGAAAAGGTGTATGAGGAAAATCTTCCATTGGTTCGGGGAAACCTTGAACGCAAAGAGAAGCAGAGCGCCGCTGCAAAGGCTGGAGGTCCTGGAGGTCATAAGGCCGACCCCACGGTCGCGCCCACCACTGAGCGAAAACGCAAAGCCGAAGCTGATGCATCCGTCACCACACATGATGACACTGCCGCCTCAAGCTCTGCTCGCGCAGATGCCTCGCACGCTGATGCCCCAGTTGACCCCAACAATGCACCATTTCTTGCACCCGAACCACCAACATCCAAAGCAGGAGCGCGACCATTCTTGGAGCCTGAGACACCGCCCGCTGCAAAAGCAGCAAGCATAGGAGTCACATCAAAGGCTGCAAGCTCCGGTCGCCCGGATGCCTCCTGGAGTTGGAATCGTGATCACTATGGTGCACGCCGAGAATGGAGTTTCTGGCGTGGGGCTTGGTATTACCGTGACGAGGCCGGCGGCCGGTGGATCTATTGGAACCGCAGGTAGACGATGATTTTCTTTTGTAGCATAGCGCAAGATGCGGCATGGTAATGTGCCTTCCTTGCAAAGCTGCGCTGGGTTTTACGGGCTTGAGCTTTTTAAAGGGACCTTTGAAAGACTGCATAAAAATGATCAAAACCAACTAAAGAAATTTGGCTACCCGCGAGGGTATGCTCTTCTGGGTTATTCGTTCTCCGCAGTCGTCCCTGCTCGCCCGAGGGGGGTGTAAAAACTCCTGCAGTAAAACCATGTAGTATATATATCATCGATCTACTCTGTAGCGTTGGTTCAAAACAGTGCCAGCAGCTTAACGGTTGTGTTGCATTTTACCCCATTTCCGGTTGACCTGGTAAAATACACATCTGGCTCGAACTTGGTCATGCCAAGTTGTTTTCTACACAAGCGTTTGTCAAAACTGAATTGCAGCTGGGGATTTTTTGGGGGGTTCTTAAGATGAGAGACCCTGGCCCGCATCCCTCATTCGGAGGATCATCCCACTTAGTAAGTGATTCATAACCTAGTCGGTAACTCCCCCAAGTGGGGTTATCCCATATACAACTGGGTTATAGATATTAGGTAAACCCCAAAAATCATCAAAAAGTCCCATGGTTATCCCAAATAATATATGTATATATATATATATGGGTTACAATGGTAAACCCCACAAAATCCGCATGGTTTCCCAGTGATGCCAGGGCTCAACTCGGACCCAACTTACCCAAGTCCTGTCGCGCGAGGTGCACATTGATCACGTTTGGCGCAACCCGGTGCTGTGCGGCGAGGTCACCATGATGGGGATTGGACTGGGAGGATCATATGATCCAATCCCCATCATTTATGGTATTATATTAACATGTATTAACAATTTATGCTTATATCACTGAAAAAATATGATCTATGATTAGATTGGTGATATTGTCAATGATCCATGATTTTTGATCAATTGCGATGTCTCATAAGAATTAAGGAATTGATCAAACGTGATTATCCACCGCACCAAAATAATGTCGTAAATCAAAAAGGATCACTGTATCCCAAGGATGATGCAGATTGTCTGGTGTTGATATAATTTGATGCAAAATGATGTGATTCGCCCAGAAGAAATGCTCATGTGGGTTGAGTTGTTTGAATGTCGGTTGAATGAACATGAAACCAGGAAAGGGGGCGCACAATTCTAAGAGACTGGATGGATCTGGATGGGTCATCGTGCCACCAGGGTGGCTCAAGTCTCCCCTATTGGGCAACCGGAATTGAATGTATGGTGCTCGATGGATGGCAGCAGGCCCTGCTTCAGGTGAGTCTCTCAGCTTTACAGCGTCTTCAATGCTTTTCCATTAGCCGAGAGATCCAAGAGCCATTGCAGCTGGCGCCATGGGCAACGAGTCTTCATCTCTTGAAGAAGAAGGTGGCTGGCTGATGGTTCGGCATGTTTTTTGTGTCTCTTATTTCCCATTGGGATGATCAAAAAGAGATCCATATGTTTGGGAGGTGTCACGTTCCATTTCATAAAAAGCATGGCGATTCCCATGACGAAAGCGCCAGGTGGTCACGGAGAAAACAGCTGTAGCCTCCTGCAAGTTGCATGGCGCCTGGCTGTTGGCTTTGCTGCTGCTTGGGACACACCAGGTGGACATTGTGAGCTTCAACGCAGCTGCTGCAGTTTGTAGATGGCATCATTCACTGCGTCCTGGATTTGCTGAAGATGATGTTTTGAACGTTGTTATGTCCCATCATTTTTCCCAGCAGTTGATCCACTATTTGCATCTATTTGGAGAATCTACTGGTAGTATCCCCAACAAATCTGAGGACTTTGATGTCATCTTCCAGGCTGCGGAGCTTGAAGGCCAGCATCATCAGCTTCTGCGCAGCCAGCAATGCTGCACTGGAGGGTCACTGGCCTTCTGCCCTGTCCAGCTTCGCAGCCATGCTTTGGAACACGATCCGCAGCAACGCCGTGGCTTTCGGTGCAGCTTGCAGCGCGGCCAGCAGCATCAGGGCATGGAGGTGTGCTTCGAGATGGATGGTCGAAGGTCGCATGGCGGAGGTTCAATGCAATGCCATTCACTTCAGCCATGCCGTTGCAGCTAGCGAGACGCAATGGCAGCATGCTGCTGGCTTGTTGGAAGGCATGAAACATCAACATTTGGCTTCAAAGATCACTAGGAACAACGCTTTGAGTGTCTTTGCAGAATCATCCTCCGCTAACTCCCTGTGGCATAGGGTCTTACAGCATCTTGATTTTGGCAGTTCTCTTGGGAACGTTGTCGCTTGTGGCACAGCACTAGTGGCCTGCGAAGCTGCAGGAAAATGGCGAAAGGCACTGTGGTTATGTCATGCCCTCCCCCATGCGGTGCTGCATCCGAACAACGTGATGTTTGGGGCACTTTGTAGTGGTCTACGTGGCCGTTGGTATCTTTCTTTGGATATCTTGAAGCATGTGCAAAGCCTTCGCCTTGGCAACGCGCACATCAATAGCTGTGTTTTGACTTCCTGTGTGAAAGCAGGCCGCTGGCAGATGGCTCTTGATTTGGGTTGCGACTGGCAGGATGTCGTCATTAGCAGTGCTTGCATCTCTGCATGCGAGAAAGGGAAGGATTGGGGCAGGGGACTGCAGATCCTACAGCAGTTGCGGGGGCTGCATCTTTCACCGAGCCCTGTGAGCTATGGGGCTGCCATCAACGCGTGCGAGGCATGTGAGGAATGGCAAGCTGCCATGCTGCTGCTCAGAGATATGTGGGCAGACAGGCTGCAAGCCACGGTGGTCACATTAAATGGTGTGATTCAAGCATGTCAAAAGTGCAGTCGCTGGAAGGAAACACTTCTGTTGTTGGATGAGATGTGCTGTAGCAAAATCGACCCCAATTTAGTAACTTTCAACGGCGTGCTGGCCGCATGTAGCCAAAGTCGGGCGTGGCAGGAGACGCTCGGCCTTTTCTTGCAACTGGTTGAAGTTGATACCGTGAGCCTCAACTCAGCCATTTCCGCTGCATTTCTGGCTGCCTGCGGGAAAGACACGAAGAAGGATCGCAGTCTGGAGTTCTGCAACCACTTGCAGATGCAGCTGGCTGACAAAGGTGTGGAGGTTTTAGCAACAGCCTGGGGGCAGCAAGCGCATCTGAAGCTTGTGAAAAAGGTGTGTCCAATGAGTAGCTGCGGGCTTTTGTGCTGGTATATAAAGGATGACCACCAGCAGCTATGTCATGATGATAATCATCATCAGCAGCATTATCAGCATCATCAAAAGCAAAATAGTTCCAGTATCACTTGCAGGTTGCGAAACTGAGATGTTCAAAGGCTCTTCTCAAGTATGCCTACCCCTTGCATATCCTTGCGCTCTCAAGCGAAGTTTTTGAAATTTGCCGCTTATAGTTGTTGTTTTGGCCGTTCCAGGATGACAAGGATGCCAGGCTAAGTCCAGCATGTCTAGCTCCATTTCAAGATCACAACTCAAGATGCTTAGGAGTTTCTTGAACTGAACCAAGTTGGTTGAATCTCCATCTGAAGTTTAGGTCACCATTGTCCTATCATTTTCCCCCATTTTCCTATGGAAAAATGGCTCCAGTTTGCACCAGGCCGAGTTTGGGCTGGACAACCTTTGGCGTCGGGCCGGCAACGCCGGCAATGGACGACCACAGGAAGTGAGCACAATGATGATGACCATGGAGGGTAAATATATGTATAAATATGGAATTATATGGATATATGTATATGTAAATATATATATATATATATTAACGATGGTTTATGGAAGATATATTTATAGCATTCTCTAGTTATATAATTTTTAGTTATATAATGAATTTGTAAACTATTGTAAACCAAGAAATTTAACTGGAAAATTTAACGGGAGATGTCCTAAGTCATGGGGAATCCCCAGTCGAAAAGCGATGGTTGCTTCGTGGGTAGCCCTATGACGAAGAACCCCCCTCCAAGTATGTACTATACGGACATATTAATATGATGAATAGCCTATCAATCAGAACCCACCAAATTACACCATGCACATATACATAGTATATGATATATACATTTACATATACTCGTACATGCAGTATCCATATATTGAGAGGAATGAACATCCATGGATACCAGTTATTTTTGGTGCGTGACCAAAGTCAAGTGGGCACCAGGGTTGTGATTCAGAGGCATATAAAATGATATACAGCTTATCACAAAGATGGGTTCAGTTCAAGCAAGAATCATGGGATAGTCTTTGGGGTACTGGGGGAAAATTAATGATGATATGAAGCAGCAATTTCATGGGGATTTAACCTATCAACTTGGTCAATCGTGGAGAGAGAGAGAGAGAGAGCGAGAAAAAAAGAACAGGCTAACCAGCTAGTCAAGAGATCTTGCAGTAACAGGCATCTGAGACTCTGAGATTGGCCGTGATTAGTGAATGGGCAAAACTAGTTTTAAAACCATGGGATGTTCTGAGCGTATCGACCTAAGCGGTGTTTCATCATCCGTCCCCCGAAAATGAGACAAGACACAAAGCCTGGTTGAAGCCCTATGGATCCAAGTACCTTCTCAGGAAGTGTTTGGGGTATAATTTACTATAATTTGGAGAGTCAAGTACCTTCTCAGACAGTGGCCATGGATCCATAGGGAATATACCATAATATACCGGTATATCCTCCGGTAAACGGAAAACCCACCGTTGAGCTCAATGATTTTCCCATTTAAACCCTCAGAGATGGAGCTACCAGAGGGTCATCATTTTTTTTGTCCCAATGTAGGTTGTCTTAAGATCCTGATAGGGAGATGGGATGAGACCTCAGGGCTAGCCATGGAGCAAGGGTAGCTGTTCTTGCTGATATTTTGCGAATTGTTCCGAGACACAGAAAAAATGGGAATATCATATTATATGTCTGGCAAATACCTGAAATGACTTGGAATTGAATCCCATGCTTTGTGTAGTTGAACATGGGCCAAGTGAGAATGTTGGATTGGCATCGTTTTCTTTTGCCTGTGATACAGGGGGTCCAAGGGTAAGACCTCCATTTGGAAAAGCTATTAATTATATATATATACATATGTTTTTTATCATTAGTAGCATTTTTATTGTCATTATCATCATTATTATTATATATACATATATATATGTGTATGTATGTAATTTGTGTTTATGTATACGTATATATATATATGTATCATGATGTATCATGTATATTTCTGTACTTGTTTAACTTGTAAGACTTGGGTCCAATTGATCGGGAGCCCCCGGAAATTCCGTGGGTTTTCGGGACCGAGTTGCCCAGCCGAAGCTTGACGAGGTACCAGTTCCCCTGTTCAAGAAGGGAGAGCAGCAACTTGGATCGGAGGATGTGCTTGGCGGCTAAGGCCGGCTAAGCCTTAGTTAGGTCAACAATAAAAACTTGTTCTTCAACCAACCAGGATGGGATTGAATCATTAAAATGATGAGTAAACTAGGTGAGATGACTGGTGAATCGGCGATGTTTCTGCACGGATTTTTGTTCATGCTCAGCTGAAAAGTTGCCATATGTGGGTCAAAGAATATGCAGGGAAGAGTGGATGCTGGAAAATTTGAGTATTGAACCTTCCAATTTGAGGAGTGTGCAATTCGGCCTATATTTGCCTGTTAACAACACGGTTTGTTTCAATCAACAAGCGTGGATCCAAGGTATGCATAGTGGACATAGTGGAGGTGAGAGTGATCAAAATTAAAAGTACTACCAGCAACATGGCAATAAGAGCACTCCGCACAAGGTTCATAAACGGATAGCAGTAACATCCGAGATTTCTCGTAAGGGAGTCACATCCTTTCACTAATTGACACGTGGTCAACCCAGTGACAAACGGAAACCCAGCGACATAATTCTACCTCTTCTGGGTCTCAAAACCATTCAAAAAGCAGTGCGTTTGGACGCCCAGGCTCGACCGAACAGCACAGTACACTGGCCATGGATCAATACCTACAGGCTAGGAGGAGGACCATCCATTTGCCAGCCATTCAACCAGGGATACCCGGCCTGGTAAACTAAGAGTTTGCTATGGAAAATCACTAAAAAAATGGGTAAATCAACTATTCCTATGGCCATGTTCAATAGCAAACTGTTAGTTTACCAGAGGGTACTGGGCGCCGCACCATCTAAGGACAGGACTTTTGAATATCAGCATTGCTTTGCAGGCGACTGGGAAGTGGTGAAACCAATGGATACAATTCCACCTCACAGCAACCGGAAAAAATACTGATAGATATGTTTGATTTGTTCTAAACTGTATGGAGTCAGTCTACAAACATACGTGTATATACATATAGAACCTATATATGTTTCTAGCTCAGGAAGGTAATTTGCCCAGATGTCCGGTGCTGGAGCACCGGGATGAAGTTCCCTTGGAGCAGACATTTTTTGGTCAAAATGGGGAAGCCCCAATAGCTGGATGGTTTATTTCATGGAAAATCCGAGAATAACATGGATGATTCGGGGTTACCTCCCGTGTTAGGGAAACCCCGGTATATATGTATATAATAAAGTTCCAGCATGTGCAACATTAAGTAAACCAAATTAAGATTAAAAAGCAAAAAACAAATCCTGGAAAGAAGTTGATTGGGACCGACCCCATATTCAATAAGTTTTCCATCGCAGAAAGACAGGGCCCTGCCGTGGGCGGTCCTCCAGCTGGTGGTGGCTACTCCACTCCCGTGCCCGCGGCATGAGATTGGAGGGTCGGGTTTTTCTGAAAGTTCATGTTTTTTTTTGAGGATATCAGTTCACCCCTATTGCTGGCAACCAAGAGCTCATGGTTTGAGCAGCCACGGGGTAGAATCGGCTATAGTCTGTGGTAATTATTTATCCGTTTCAAAAGCTGGGGTTGTACCCTACAGGCCTTACAGCTACTATGGGGAACTCTGGGTGGCTCGGTTCTATCGTTCTACAGCGGTGATTTTGGTGTCTGGAATTCTTGCAAAGTTGGCTTCTCCCAAAGCCAAGGTCTCGGCCCCTGTACCATCTCGTACCCATCTATAGGTTTCCTGTACGGCCTGGGTCTGTCCTCAAATTGCACAACTGCTCTTGACGGCCAGGTGAACCAGATGAATCTGGACCCATACTCGCCACACAGTGGCCCAGGACCCGCAGGGTCCGCAGGTCGATGGCTTCATGCTCTGAACCTTGTGGTGCTGTATGGTGAACGTGTTGGGAATTGAGCCGCGATGCATTGGCCACTTGCCCTGTCAGTTGCTGTCAGGATATCCCTGGCTGGAAAGGTCTTGAACTTGGATCCCCTGCCGAGGGTAGACAGGCTATTGAGCGGTATATGTTATTCGCTGTATTCACCATTGATGTACACACGTATACTATCAGCATATGTCATTCTAATATTTTTTTCATATGAATGTACATATATACCCTCTGGTTATTTAACATAGCCATGGTATAGATGTCCCATAGAAATAGATGGTTTACCTAGCTATAAAATGGTGGATCTTTCATATGGGATGCAGTAGCTAAATTAAACCAGGTGGACTCTGAGTTAGGTTTATTTTTTTTTGGTTTAATTTAAAAAATCTTACGAAAACAGGGGGTCCACCCACCTCCTTAAGATCCTGAAGAAAGTTGAGTTGGTTTAATTTTGAGATGTGACCCACCCCATGGTTTAATTTCAGCTGTTTTAGCTCATTGTGCTGCCTCGTGTTCCGCCTCGGGATACTGCAGCCATGGTTCCTGACACGTGTCCTAGCACAGCTCCGTGAAGACGATCCGGCGTGGACAGCAAGGTTCTTGCACAGTTGGGAACAGCATTGCTGCAGCCCAAATGCTCCATCTCAAGCAGAGCAAGTCCATGGGAAAGGCGCTGCGGGACCATGGTAAACTGTTTCTATCTGTTTCGGGCCCCTTGCGTAATCCCAGATCAGGTCAGAATAATTAATCAAGGGGTGGGTGAGTCCATACGTACTGAACATTCATTCATCAGGACACCTTTGGCACCATAATATTCATGGGATTTATGGTCACCAGAATAATTAAACAAGGGGTGGGTGAGTCCACATGTACTGGGCATTCAGGATCAGTTCTTCCATTGGGGCACCCCCAACACCATAATATCATACAATATCCATGGCATTAATGGTCACCAGAATAATTAAACAAGGGGTGGATAAGTCCACATGTTCTTGGCATTCATATAATATCCATGGCATTAATGGTCACCAGAATAATTAAACAAGGGGTGGATAAGTCCACATGTTCTTGGCATTCATTAAGATTCATGTATTGGGATATCTTTGGTGTTTTCCTTCCCTTGTGATGACCAAAGATGAAAATTCAAGAAAAAACAATGAATCATGATAACACCAAAGATATCCCAATACATGAATCTTTATGAATGCCAAGAACATGTGGACTTATCCACCCCTTGTTTAATTATTCTGGTGACCATTAATGCCATGGATATTGTATGATATTATGGTGTTGGGGGTGCCCCAATGGAAGAACTGATCCTGAATGCCCAGTACATGTGGACTCACCCACCCCTTGTTTAATTATTCTGGTGACCATAAATCCCATGAATATTATGGTGCCAAAGGTGTCCTGATGAATGAATGTTCAGTACGTATGGACTCACCCACCCCTTGATTAATTATTCTGACCTGATCTGGGATTACGCAAGGGGCCCGAAACAGATAGAAACAGTTTACCATGGTCCCGCAGCGCCTTTCCCATGGACTTGCTCTGCTTGAGATGGAGCATTTGGGCTGCAGCAATGCTGTTCCCAACTGTGCAAGAACCTTGCTGTCCACGCCGGATCGTCTTCACGGAGCTGTGCTAGGACACGTGTCAGGAACCATGGCTGCAGTATCCCGAGGCGGAACACGAGGCAGCACAATGAGCTAAAACAGCTGAAATTAAACCATGGGGTTTAATTTTGAGAAAGTTCAGTTGGTTCACGCACCTGGGGGGAAAAATGGTGGGCGCAACGGTTTTTACACCAAGTCTCACTGACATGTGTAGAACCAGGTGGTTTAATATTTGGTCTTGGCAAAACAAAATCAACCCAATGATCCTGTAAAATTAAACCAGGTACTGCCGAGTAGCTTGTTTAATTTTTAGCTGGGGGATGCTAGGTGGGACCTTAACTGGAAGTTTTCTGGATTAATTTCTTATGTTAAAAATAAACGGAGGTTATGTTTGACTGAAAATTTTTGGAAAAAACCATACTGCAGGGGACCCCGTTTAATTAAAGAAATTAAACCAGGGTCCCACCCCCCCCACCAATTACCGCTACGTATATGATCTTTCCATGGCTATGTTAAAACCAGATGGTATATACATATATATATACACATTATTTATATGAATGTACATATCTATATCTTTATATATATATATATTATTTATTTATTTATATATGGATGCATAATCATGTCTCCGGCCATGTCCTGAGGCCAGCAGATCCATCAGATCCGCGCATGCCATCGCCGTATGGTGGCCCTCAACGAGGTCATCAGATCGCGCCGGCGGTTTTTTGTTTCGGGATATCATTGGATAGGTTGACTCTATCAGATGATAAGGGCATCAATTAACAATCTAAAGTAGTTTTCAATATTCACATAATACTGTAGAAATCGATTATGTAGTTCCAAATATCTACAGTCTTTCTATTGGTTGTTGGTTTTTTCCAATAATTGTAGGTTTTTCATTGTCACATATTTCACTGGGATGATCCCTTAAAATCATACTGCACTCAGGTGAAAAGGACTCTCTTCCAAGGATCTGTCTTTCCTAAGGTTGCTCGATTCTTCAGTGATTATGGGAGGAGTTCATCCAATTAAGAACCCAAATCTCAGCATTTCACCATATTTCACCAACTGGGGTGCAACCAGCCCCAACCAGAAGGTTGGCTGATTAGTTGCTGGGGATCATGAGACTGTTGAAATGTCGTTCTCAAATGTTGTTCTGATTTCATGCACCCCACTTGGGGATGGCTTACCTTTTTTTTGGGGTTTAGATGGCCATGGGATGATCCACTGATCTAGCACATACCCTAGCTGGATCCCCTGCATCCCTCAGTTTTTTTTTGGGATTATCCCCAATTTAGCGGTTTGCTTTGTTGATATATTGTGAGATATTGGGGGTATTTGTTGATTAAAGACGGCATGAGATATTGGGGTTAGTTTTTGATTAAAGACGGCATGAGATATTGGGAATATTTGTTGATTAAAGACGGCATGAGATATTGGGGATAGTTTTTGATTAAAGACGGCATGAGATATTGGGGTTAGTTTTTGATTAAAGACGGCATGAGATATTGGGGATAGTGTTTGATTAAAGACAACATTAAAAAAATGATGGAGAGAGATGAAACAAGAGGTTCACACTGTGGACAGGGTAAACTTTTACCATCAACATCCCCAGTCAGGACCTGTGGATGATGAATGCTGATTTGGATTGCACCACGGTTCACATAAAATGCTTTCCATACTGGGATGATGGCGGAACTGCTTAGAAATTGATGGTATTATTAATATCAAGTTGAGATTGGTATATATTCGGATACAATATGATACAATACATGTATACCGCAAGCCAGTTTCAAAGCCTCAGTCCTCACTTCACAGGCATCCAATTCAAGTCGTTTTGTCCTGCCAGGTAGCACAGACTTCGCTGCTTCAGTCGGTGTGCAGGTGATCAGGGTGGAAACCTGCAAGGGACGCTGGTCATTTAGCATGGATTTCTGTTCCCATTTTTGCAATTGTGATCTTGGCCATGTTGATTGAATTACTTGAGGCTAGTGTGTAGCTATTTGCGAATGGGCACATGAATTCAACCGGAAATCCCCGTTTCATGGGACATATTCACCTGTCCTTTGGAGAGGGAAAAAAAAACAGGGATTTTCGGCAGCCAGGATACCACAAAATAAGTTGCATGGACCTGGGAACTCACGGAAACCAACCATGTCATATGCTTTGGCCGTGGCATTTCGGTTCCATGCCAATGAAGAAAAATAACCCTTTCAATTTCATGTTACGTACACCCATGGAAACCCTGGCTTACTATTGCAATCTATTCATTTTGTGGCCTCAATCAAAGAGGTTCATATGACATGGGGATAGGTGTGCATTCAATTGCATTTAAGATACTTGAGTTTACTTAAGTTAAAATCACATATTATATATATATATGTGTGTGTGCCTGTGTGATACACAGTTACCCGATCCCTGTATAACCTTCCAATGTTTGCCAGTCAACATGCACCCCTTTTGGTAGGGTGCTGAGCAAGCAGCTGAGCAGCCCGGGCAGGCGATTCCCTCCGAAGTTTTTTGGTCCGGGGTTTTAACCAATGCAAAATTGTGCTAGAATAGGTTCACCCTGGTAAATTAACATAGACCCTGAAAATCACCAATTTTTAATGGAAACTAGTCTTCCAACCCCTATCTGCCAGGGTCTATGTTAATTTACCAGAGGGTATATCATGGGAATATCATGGAATATATATATATATATATAGATAGATAGATAGATGGCTTATGAATGGAATATTGATGGAATGTTAATGGATTGGCTCTCTGGCAATCAAACATGGTGGTGGGAAAATCATCTATAAATGGGACATTTTTCAGCAAGCCACGGAGCTGATTACGAGAAGGTAAAGTAAAAGCTGGCTGTGTGTTTTTTTGGGTTTACCCGAATCTTTGGACGGGTACGTTGATCTTTTGCTAGAAATGGAAATATGTGCTAACCAGCTTCAAAGAAATGCTGCGTATTTAAAGATTGACCGTGTTGATCTGGATGTTATTTGTAAATGAAGGAGGAACCAACAATATTGATAGCCATGCGAACACGGGCCCGGCATACTCACAAAAAAAATGGGGTTTCATGTGGTTGATGATTTCAACACCTTGGTTTCACGAACCATACGGGGATTTGCCCCAACGAAATAGGAGTATAACTTCAGTATCACCTGCAAAAATGAGATTTATAAGACTACATAATAAAGAGTTTGGTGGGGTACTGCAAATGATTTTTCATTCCATTGGTTAGCTGCAAATGGAAGAATGGTTTTTGATTTTGTCCCCAGTTGCTTGGATTTGTTTGGTGTCCCAAAGATTATCCAAAGTAAGCCTGACACAACATGATGCTGCCCGACATTTCACATACAAACAGGAGAAAAGACATCTGCAGGTATAGTGTTGTTTTTGGGCCTGAATTTTGGTACCCAATGATGGTCTCTCGTTCGCACTGTCGCCATACAGTAGATCGATGAGGAAGCGACCATGGGTCCGTTTGAGCCTGGAACCACTATTCACCGATCGCTTTCACCCCTGTTTTATTGGCCACATCACGTGTTTTTGTGGCGTGTTTTTCTTTGAGCTGATGATTTCTGTTGGCTATCAACATCCCATTTAATCCCATTGTTTGGGTGATAAGACCATATCAACTCATATTAAGCCACGTTTTCTCCTGGTTCCCAGATAAATCCCCAGCAGTTTTTGGACGAACAACTCTTCCCCTAGAGGTACCTCGCCCTGCGAGCGACAGCAATGCCCGGATGCAAGAGCTGCGTCGACGCGACGCTGGGATTCATGTGGATTGAATATTTACTGGTTGGTGGTTTGGAACATGGCTTTTATTTTTTCATATATTGGGAATAGTAACCCAACCAGTTTATGTTACTATTAGATATAGATAACCAACAAATATATAGATGACCAATATAGCCATAAATATAGGTTATATCTTATGTATCTATATGTATGATTTAAATATAGAGTGATTAGAGTGGTGTTTTGCAAGTTTACCATACATCCCTATATTTTCCCAGGAACTTCCCAGCTGTTTGATCTCAGGAAGAGCAGCTGCGGCAGCAGCAGTGGCAAGAAGAGCAACGGCAACGAGCTGCTCAGGAACAGTACAGACTGCAGGTCCGCGGCTCTCCGCAGGGCCCAGCTGTTATCCCCGTTCACCTTCTTGGCAGAGCGATGGATTTTGGGGCGAGTGGGCCAACTGGAAAATTCACCTTCCTTGCCCCGGGCAATTGGTTTGGATATGCTGATCTGTTTTGATCATCTTTTGTGTGCCCACCAGCGCAGTTGTGCGCGCGCGCGTGTGTCGGAACTTTTGAACCGCCAAGCCAAATCCACATGTTTTATCAGAATCATTTAAAATGGCACAATGGGAAAGACACCATTTCTCAACACTTCCCAGATGATTTCCTCTGAAATGGGTTGTTGCTTTCAGAGAGCGCAGCTGGTGCTAGTTGTGATAAGTAATCAAGCTGAATGTGTTCCTAGGCTGCTCCCTCTTTTGAAACAGTTTTAAAACCGAAAATGATCGAAAATCCTTGTGAAAGTTAGATGGCTGGGAGCTATACCGCAGAATGTCCGAGTTAAGCGGGATCCGCCTACAATCATCTACTGTCATCCGGAAACGGATTGTGCCACAGGAGCAAAAGCTTCAGGAGCAGAGGGAACAGGAACAAAGGCTACAAGAGCCTCGCGGCTTCATTGGTTCTCAGACAGGCGAATTCTGTGACAATAAATTGGCGAGTACAATACCTTGCTTAAATTGGTGTTCTTGGCAGGTCACACATATATATATAATTATATATATATATATGTATACACTATATACACAATAATAATACACTATATATAATATATAATCTATATGCTATATATATATTATATATATACATGTATAAAGTATAAGCACTTATTTTACAGACATCAACGATAGAAGATATTCATCAATTAAAACAAATAAATAGAAGATGCAAAATGGATGGTGTATAAAAGAAATACTTTACTTCGTGTGATCCCCACCATGACATTTATACATTTTGTTACTGGCAAATCTTCTGACATTCTATCTGACATATTTTCTGGCATTCGATCTGGCATTCTATCTGGCATATCTTCTGGCATTCGACCTGGCATATCTTCTGGCAGATGTTCTGGCATATCTTCTGGCAGATGTTCTGGCATATCTTCTGGCATATCTTCTGGCATATCTTCTGGCATTCCATCTGGCATTCTATCTGGCATATCTTCTGGCATATTATCTGGCAAATCTTCTGGCATTCCATCTGGCATTCTATCTAGCATATCTTCTGGCATATTATCTGGCAAATCTGCTGGCATTCTATCTGGCAAACATTCTGGCACTTTATCTGGCATATCTTCTGGCATTCTATCTGACATTCTATCTGGCATTCTATCTGGCATACCTTCTGGCATTCTATCTGGCATATCTTCTAACATTTTATCTGGCATATCTTCTGGCACTCTATGTGGCATATCTTTTGGCGTGGATACTCGCGGTTGAGGTCCGGCAGGGAACACTGGGCGTGGATGGTCGTGGTTGAGGTCCGGCAGGGAACACTGGGCGTGGATGGTCGTGGTTGAGGTCCGGCAGGGAACACTGGGCGTGGATGGTCGTGGTTGAGGTCCGGCAGGGAACACTGGGCGTGGATGGTCGTGGTTGAGGTCCGGCAGGGAACACTGGGCGTGGATGGTCGTGGTTGAGGTCCGACAGAGAACACTGTGGATCGCGAGTCGCAGTTGAGCAGGAGGACGAGGAGGACAACGAGAGGAGGAGGACAACGAGAGGAGGAGGAGAGGAGAGGAGGAGGAGGAGGAGGAGGACCAGGCAACTGACATAAAATCTAACAACCCTCACCTGGCAGGTGGGGAAAAACAAGCTTTGGCATAGGATACCAAATAACCATGGAAATGGTATCTTCTGTTTGATTTTGGCTGCGGATAACACCCCGACCGGACAAATACAAGATCACACCAAATAGAAGATGGGGCTCAAAATCTACCGATCAAATAGAAGCCACCAAAAGCTGATCCGCGGCAACCTCCTCCAACCCGGCTGCAGCAGCATCGTTTCCGACCCTCCGAAATCGGCTTTCGGACAACCAAGCAAATAGAAGCCGGGGTATACAAATGGTAAAGTAATATCCTCCATTTTTGATGTATGTAATATAGTTCATCTGCCAAAACCCCCGAAACCGAGGCAGAGACTGCAAGAGCAAAGATTGCAGGCGTGGGATCCAGCTGGAAAAACCTGAGTGAAAACCTTAGTGAAAATAAGTAAACATATAGAAAGATATATATATATATATGTATATGCATGTGTGTGTGCTGTACATATATATATATATATATGTACCGTATATCATTTGTATATCAAGGGATGCGTATGGTATTGCAAAGATTTTAAGTCTTTGCTTGGGAAATTTTCAAACCCAGAAGCAGGAACGTAAGGGGAAGGCAGGGTGGCCCTTTGCCGATATGGAGAGAGGGAGAGAGAGTATTCCAAGTAGAAATGAGGTGCGTCCAAGGCGAGCTTTGTGAAGGAGTCATTAATATTTGGTTAGCCTTCCGGGACACTCACATGCACCTCTAGGTTTGGACGACGATTTTCTTATTGACTATACATACCCCTGGGAATTCAAAAGGTTTTGGAAGATGATCGGCGCAACCTGCAATTTTACACATTTCTGGGTTTCCAGATCTTATACCAACAAACTATAACAACCCCCAAGAAGATAGAAAGGTAAGATCCCACTATCAGCAAGCTGCAGCTACAGGAACAACGGATGCGTGAGCAGCAACTGCAGTACCAGCCTTGATGCCATTTTCGTGGGTGAGTTTCGTGCTGGAAATCTGGGAAACAAACCAGCCGAGGGGAAAATCAGTTGTTTGCTAAGTATCAAATGTTAGCCAGTGACATGCACAGGCTGCACAGGCTTGTCTTATATAGATCATGTCTGAATTATATGATCATGTGCCAAGAAGCTGAGATATATAGAGAAGTTATCATTGGATATTGGGGTAACAAAAACCTAATCAGAAATTGGGATATCTTTGAAGTTTTCTCTGTGAAAGATCGACCAAGGCCAAGGGATCTGCGCGATCATCCCAAGACGGGCTCATATCAGATGAGAGATTTGCATTCCGGAGCACCACTGCCACACTTGCAATACCCTCAGGCAGGGCCAAAAAGGGCATGGGCCAAAGGGCCAAAAAGTCAACTGCCAGTTTGCACTTGGCAAGTCTTAGCGACCTAATCAAGCAAGTCCCAGCTCATACAACGCGCCATGACCATTTCCAATCCTGCAACATTCCAAGATATTCTTATGACGACTGGTTTTGCCCAAAAATAGATGGGCTACGGCATGCTATGGCTATACCTGTGAACATATTGCAGGTAGTTGTTCGTTTGAAAGGAAATGAAAGGAACCATGCTCAGAAAAACGATGCAAGGTGAGGACCCCTATTTATAAGTTGGTTTATCAACCCACTAACCAGAGTTATAATCACCATAGACCCTAGTTGTTCTAGTTGCAAACCAGTTTGGCTAAGGATTGGCGGGCAGCATGTTAGATAGTTAAGTCCCTATTGTTGATCGAATCGCTACTGTATATCCGATGATGTCCCTACAAATCAAAGTCCCCATTAGAAAACCAAGCAACTGGGTTTCCAGGACCCGCCCGGCCCCTCAACGCCGCAAGCGCAGCTAGCGCCGCACGGAAGCCTCGAGGGGGTCGTTCTGGGCGTGCCTGCGCTTGACGCAGCGCTGCAGATTTGGCTCCATCACAACAACTTCACGTCCTGACATCATTGGAATGATGGTGAATGGATTAGGGTAACTATCACCAAATGGCCGAACTTTTCACTTGGTAAAGAATTATTATACAACTTTTCCAGGTGTATAAATGATGGTTCATGTATTTTTTTGTTTTGCAGGAAGTTCATAAATGCTGGCTTTTTATGGTCCCAAACTGGAGAATAAGACAGTTAGCATGGCACCTCACTGCGGTGTGCCGGTGTGCCATCTCGACGATCAAGATGAAAGAGCCAGTGTAAAAGTATCCTCTGATAAATCAACGTAACTATGGAAAATCACCATTTTCAATGGGTAAATCCACTATAAATGGTCATGTTCAATAGCTATGTTAAATTACCAGAGGGTACATGTCATTTGGTGATTAATCACTTTAGTACCAGTAGATGCTGTATACGTTTGAGATGGTTTGGAGCCCAAGTTTGAAGTTTGGTCTGTCCAAAAAGCTGAATGCAACCTGAATTTAGCTTGGTATGGATTGAAGAATCATATGCTACAAACCGGCAAATCCGACTTGGCACTTGGTGAATGTTCAAAAATCGATAAACGCACCGTTGGCGTTTCTCTTCACAAAGGGCCGTAAGTAAAACAGAGTAAGACCGTTTCAATTACTAGCGACCACCCATGTTGGTTTTCCAAAAACATTCCACATGTCATGCCGAAAGCTTGTGTCCCACGTGTATGTGTTGATTACATTTTTTTATGGGTATCAGTTTGAACATAGAAGATATAGAACAGCCTCTTAAAATTGATGGTTTATCAGTTTATCATTTGCCTGATGGTTTACCAATAGGATTTACCATCCTTTCCCCAACATGTGAATCATTCCTAGGCCCAACGGCGACCCATCTTATGCAACGCAGCGCTTGGCCGGGGATCCCGTTGGAGCCCAGCAACCCACCTGTCGTTGCTGCGGTGTTTGCTGTGAACACTCACCATTTTTTATAGGTAAATCCACTATTTCTATGGCCATGTTCAAGAAATATGTTGAAGTACCAGAGGGTAAGAATTGGTGTAAATTCATAGTGATCCAGTTGAATAATGTCAAAGTATGTTCCTGTTTGATTGTCGAACTGATTAAGCTGGTAAATATTGTTTGATTGTCAAACGTCAAACTGATTGCCTATTGTGCTACCACGACTTGCAGTGGAGCGAAATTGGCAAAATAGAACAAAGAGAATGGATTGGACTTGGAGTCGCTGTTTCTAGAAGAAAAAATGCAAAACATGGGAAACCCATTTGGGTTGCCCTCATCCCGGGAGAAAACATTACCTACTTGTTTCACCTTTTTTTAAACGGTTTATCATGTTTTTTTGGATGAACAACTTGTTTGTTTGAGTTGTTTTTATTTTTTACATTTTTTTTTACTATATCCCTAGTATCCCAATATATATTAATATAATTGTTAAATGCCTTCAGCCTGCTTCTAAGAAATTTGGAAAAAAAAGAAAAACTAATGCAAACAAGAAGCAAACCACGACTATTTTGAAAAAGCAAAAACAAAAACAAAAAGCAAACTATACATTTATATGCGGTTGTTTTTTTTCGTTGTTTTTTTCCTTTTTTTCCCGCAGTTTTTCCGTTTTTGTTTCTTTTTTGTTTTTTCTTTTGCAGGTGACCTGATGACCAGGAGCTTCGAACATGTTTTAAAAAAAAATCGAGGAAAAAACAAAACAAAAACGGGAAAAAAAACAAGACGAAAAAACGGAAAAAAATAGCGAACAAATACCACGAAAAAAAACGACAAAAAGGTGTGCTTGTTTTTGTTTGCTTTTAGTTTTGTTTTTTGTTGCTTTTGGTTTTGCTTGTTTTTTTCTTTTGAGCTATTCTGATTGATTTTGTTTTGTTTTTGTTTTTTTTGTTTTATTCTAAATTAGGTTTGGATTAGGTTTTGTTTTGTTTGGATATGGTGTTGTATCGTTTAGTTCATTTTATTTTTCTATGTTTTCATAGAAGTTGCCTGTAAGCCGTGTCACCACAGTATAATATAGTATAATATAAATAATACTATATCATACTGTATAATTAGGGAATTATATGTCATATATCCCAATTGGACATCTTCATCATACTTGATCATTGATGGATCCAACTGGTTTTTGTAATGGACACATGTGAAACCCTAGTTATTTTCTCCGTTCCTTTGTCAGTTGTTGTCATCCGTTGTCATGTGGCTTGTGCAGGTGAAACTCTTCATCAGTCTTCGATGACCCAGTTTACTTCCCCCCTGTCTCTAGTCCCATTGGTGCTCATGTCTACTCATATCCCTATGCCCCATTTCTATCGGATTTCTGTTGGAACATATCCCCACCTATCCTCACCTCTATGTCATAGTCAACATGACTTCTACTGCTCAACATCACCATTTCGATTGCTGAATATCCAAAGTTCTACTGTGATTCTCCATCACAATTGACATACGTCCCGTAAATTTAGAATGGAAGCTAAAGAATATTCATTGCCGAAGGAAGAGAATCTTTTGTACTTCCAGGTTGCACATGTTTGTTTTCAAGAGGGCTCATCCCATAAATTCCTATAAGCTAGAAAAAATATAACATCAAGTAAGAATCTGATCAAGCCTGTAAACAATCGTGTGGAAGACAATAAAATTACAGCAGGCAAAGTAGAACTCCTAAGGTAAGTAAACATATTTTGAACGCAAAAACTTCAAGTCCCAAATTATTTTCAAAATAGTCCAAGAATTTCTCCAAGATCTCTTCGGATCTCTTTTGATTCCTCAACCCCAGATTTTTGACGATGCCAGCTGCCGCAGGGTCCAGAGACGCCTTCGTCCTTCCCCGCAACGCCACAGCGATTGGTTCGGAGCTTCGAAGATCTGGGGGGCCTTCAGGGCCGGGTTCCAGAGGTCCCGGAGGTGGAAACTGAATGATTCAATGGGATGTTTAGTGGGATGTTTAATGGGATTTCAATGGGGTTGCAATGGGGTTTTGTGGGATATCATGGGAATTTAATGAGATTAAGTGAGATTTTGTTGGACTGTGAGAGGAATTTCATGGAATTTGGTGTGGTTTTTCTGGGATTCAATGATGTTTAATGGTATTCAATGATTTAAGAAGCAACAATGGGGATGATGGGGATATGAATAAACGCAATGTCACTGGAATGATGATTAGGATTGTGGAAATCAACCCCAATGGCTTCGGTGAGTTTGAACTTCTAACATCTTCTAACCACATTATGGAAACTCAAACTTTTTCTCAATGCTTCTACTCACACAATTGCAACCTACCAATGGGCTTCTGTGAGTTGAAACGACTTTGCCTCAAACTTGGAGATATGTCATTTGAAGCCAAGACTTATGAGGGTAACACCATCAATTCCTGATGTCTCCACCGAGGCACCTGCAGGGCAGCCAGCTGAGGCAGGGCCCAGGGATAGACCCAAATCTGGCAGGTTTCAAGGGGCTTCAACGCCACATTGTTTAGGAAACCCATAGGAACCCCCCATGTTGACGTGATCAACGGGAGGGCAGCTCATGACTGCGGTTCTTGTTGAACTGTCATGGGGCTGGGGCATTGGAAAGTGACATTTTGCAACACAATCTAAGGGAACATGGCCCCTGCTGGAAACTCACATATTCAGAGTTGGGGCCTTTCTGTGAAGCCCATGGCATAGCGATACCCCAAAGCCATAGGTTTCAATGCTAAAATGATCTAATTTTGGATGATTTGGGGTACTCGCATGTTCGGAAACCTCCAATATGGGGGTCCTCCATATGGGGTTGGATGGTTGGGGAATTGATTACCTGAGGATCCGATTGCCACTGAATGCTGTTGCGGTTACTCCCAGGTCCGGGGTGTCTCGTGCGGTTGGTGTAAGGAACGCTCACCGAAGGCACGTGGGAACGTTAATTGATCAACCGAGCCGGTTCCCCCTGTTTCAACCAATAAGTAGAAGTCGGTGAGGATGAGTAGTGTACCAGACTCGCACCTTTCCTTCACGCAACAAGACTTTGTTGTTTTAGCTGGGCTCATGAGTGATTGGCCATGATTGATGAAGAAATGGACAGGGAAATGCTTATGCGATGTTCATTGCTGCGGTGTTTTTTTCCTTGTGTGGGAACCATCGCCCATGAGGTAGCCATGGCCCGGTGTAGATGTATGCTGCACCTCCAAGTTGGAATGTGTGAGTCTCGATGGTGAGTGTATTTGAATTGTTTTCACTGCACTGCGGCCATAAACATCATCATAGATGGATATTATGATTATGCATATATATATAATCATATATGATTATACATATACAGTACAAAGTATACATGTGTTTGAATGCATATGTATTTACACCGATCAAATCCACACACATATATATATATATACACACACATATATATATATATACATAGTTATGCTGCATTGTATATGCCGCGTACTAACGTTGCAGGACAGGGAAAGCCATGGAACTTCATGTTCTCAGGACATGCTTGAAGAGCTGCAGCATCGTACTGCATCCCTCAAGACCGAATTTTTTCTGTGTCTTTAAATATGTTGTACATAAATCACAAAAAGATCTTGGAGGGTGTAGATTTCTTTGAGATTTCTGGAGTGGCGACCAAGAAATCCTGGAGTGGCGACTAAGAAATCCAGGTCTCTTGACATTCGCCACAGGCAAATCTTCCACTTCCTAGTAGCCCCACTGCTTTGGCACCTGAAGGCAATGCCTGGGGAGGCAATGCGTTGCTTCAAAAAATCGTGGTGATTAGTGCCATTGTTACCTATTGGACCTTTCTAATATGGAGAAGCAGCTATATTTTGATACTTATGTTTTAAACTAGAAATGAGGATGAATCTGACATATAACCATCTACGTGTGAGAGTGCATCTAAAGTATACGGGCCATCTGATTCTTGTTGCAATATCTAAGTTTGGCCATGACAACAATGATGAATTAAAAAAAATTGGTTTAACCAACAAAAAAAATGTGTTAACCAATAATAAAAGGGAAAGTATTGGGACAACTGTTGGCTATTTGAGCCAACCTTGGATTGTTAATTCGATGCATGCGTATTGTTGACAGTAATGGGGAGCTCTACTAAGCAGCCAAACAAACTATCCAAGATTGGCCATGCCAAATCATGCCAATACGCTGGGCTGTAGGGTTTTTATGGGTTTTTGCGTTAAACTGGATACTTAGCAATTGGGTTGTCATCAAAAGCCACAGTCAGCCACACCTCATTGGATTTTGACCATCAGCTTCACCATTTTCCAAATTATAAGTGCACTATCCTATACCCCATACACAGTAAGGAATTAATTGCAGTCCATAGGTATCCATGTGTAAGTATTTCCTGATTCTATGTTATCTCTGCGTGCTGTTCGTTAGTGGGTGTTCAGGTTGGCCCGAGAAAAAAGGAATATCAATTGCATCCCCTATGATGACATGCAACTGGCTTTATCAAATATTCCCTTCACATACCAGCCTACCAATAAGATAGATTCTAGTAAAGTAAAAACTCAAGAAAAAACTGAAATAGCGGTGAACTAAAATACTTGTCTACATGTGTGGGTGACAAACGCATAAATCCGTTTAAGTCGTTCAACAGTATGTCAAATCGTGGCCTTTTCTATATCTTTTGGACACCAAATAGCTGGATATAGCCGGATAGCTCATCCCCAAAGTCATATGGTGTGATTGGGTTTGATGCATACCCTCTGGCAATTTAACAGCTCGCTATGGAAAATCCATGAAAATCCATGACGTCGCCATGGTCAAAAGGCAAATCATTGAACTAGATTTGCTAAATGGACCGCAACTTCCATGTCAGTTTACTGGAATCAATGGGTTTGTTTAAGAGAGAATCGAAACCGGAAACCATGGATTTTTACATGTTTTTACCATCAAGCTGATAGGGCTTTCCAGCTTAAATGTTCCCTTAAACAAATCCAATGATATCATTTACCCAGAGATATTCCATTATATTCCCAGTATATTTCCACTATAATGATATGGAGGTTTTCTAAAATAGGGGTACCCCCCAAATAATCAAATTTAATAGGTGTTTCCGTTTTTTCCATCATAAACCTTTATTTTATGGGGTACCCCCATTTCAGGAAACCTCCATATGACTCATATGACCATTAATATCCCAATAAATGCTATTAAATTACCATTGAAACAACCATTAACCATATTCCCACTTTTTTTCATATCATAAGATGGGATATGCTAGTATTCCATATGCTCGTTCCATGTAGTACCACTATATAATGGGTACCTCCATATCCATATAACGATATAGAGGTGCCATATTCATAGTATATTAAAGATGAATGGTATATTCCCATCTTAAATATGAATAACCACTATATATATAATGGGGGAATGTGGTAGCATATAAATAACCATATTCCCCCAGATATTCCTCCAGGAAGATCCCCCACGGCCGATGTATCTCCGCCTCCGGCGGACACCGATCCTGCGGTGGCGGCGGGGCAGTCCGGGGAACCCATGGGGACCCATGGGTTTTCAACGGTGGGTGTGGGTTAGAATCTTTGTTTGTGAAAGTTAGGAAGTAATCATCAAAATCTTATATAATTACAATTGCCCTTTTTCCCCGCCTTTTCCAGTACTCAGTACTAAGTGTTTCTTAGGTGATTTAAATGGGCATTGGACTTGGTGAATGTGGTTGTTTTCTTTGGAAATATAGCTTTATTTTAAACCATATGAGTGGGATGATGATCCAATCAATTTGTTGGCGAAAGGGTTGAAGCCACCAATGAGTTGTTCATTACCAAGTGGGTTATGATGTGTTATAATGTGTTATAACCCATCACATACCCAGTCAAGCCAGTTACTAACCAGTTTGCTAACCCCATGATGCATCTATGCATGGGCCCCGAAGGAGGATCTAAGCATGATCCGGAATCTCTCCACATTGGCAGCTGAGGTTGAGGTTATTTAGGGGGATCAACAATGGGTTTTCACTGTTAGGGATAACTATCGTGAATGGCTCCATAGTTGAAGCGTTTCTGGTTGCACAAAGAATGTTCTGGTAGAATATATTGTCACCCGACAATGAAAGATGCGCACCCCAGCAAGGGGTTGACTATGCGAAGTCGCATCAGTGGGAACCAAGAAACGTAACCTAGTTGGTGGTTTGGAACATCTGTTATTTTCCATAATATATGGGATAATCCTTCCCATTGACAAATATTTTTCAAGATGGTTGAAACCACCAACCAGTAACTATAACCCCATCAACCATCAAGATCAATGGTTGGATCATGATGATTCTTTAATGATTTGGCCAGGGGGCAGGGATGAGGAAGATGACCAATGGCTTCCTCATGAGTTGCTGCAAGCTATTCTTTTTTTACTCCCTGCACGAATCCTCCCTGAAAGCTTGTAACACTGGAACACCTTCGAATTCTTCAACGTGTTTTTAGATTTTACACCGCGATTTACACCCGCTATCACACCCACTATCACATACTGTGATCCTGTTGGTGGCATCTCCCCTTCTACAGGGCCTCCTACGGCCTGATCTGTTTGTTCCTTCTGCTGATGAGCCGATTTCTTGCTGTCCAAGATCTGGAAATCTTCAACAACACTTCTATGCCCCACCTAAAGACCTAGGGGAAGATTTCACATCTCTGCTCTCCAGTCTTTGATGAAGTGATATTATCGGAAATCCCTTGAAATGCATGGAAACCAGCAGTGTGGCTTAGCATTGGCATGATATTTTGCAGAGTTGACCTTAGTTTACTTCTATGGTCGTAAAAGATGGAAAACAAACTCTGGCTTCCTCTAGTGATATCATATAACCTCACTAAATCCCATGAAAACCCATAAAACCGACACAAACCAAACCTATCTCCTGGCCATGGAAGCTCCGTCGGCGCCTTGGGTGGTGATCACGGGTGGTGGCAGCGGGATTGGACGAGGCAGCAGTGATGGCATAGTGCTGGGGATTGGTGCCATGGGCCCAGTGAAGTTTGTTGCTTTGAAGGGGGATTACCCTCTGGTAATTTAACATAGCTATTGAAAATGACCATTAATAGTGGATTTTCCCATTAAAAATGGTGATTTTCCATAGTTATGTTAAATTACCAGAGGGTAACCATCTGGATGTTTAACAGTTCGCCATGGTATAGATGGCCCATGAAAAAACAATGGTTTACCGTTCTGCAAAAAAATGGGTGGATTTTCCATGGCGAGCTGTGAATGTCATAACCAGATGGTAACCATGATTTTCATGGAATTAACCATCAAATCATAGGGATTTAACTATGGAAAAAGGAATGGACAATGATGATTTACCGTCAGAATTATTAGAATTTGGGTGTTTAACTTCATCAAATCATAGGGAAAATATGGGAAAATGATAATTGGCAATGTGGGTTGGGTTTATACCCTCTGGTGATTTAACGGTTTGCGAACTGGAACATCACCATTTTTAATATAGGTAAATCATCAATGAATCATCTATAAACGGGCCATTTTCCATAGCTGTGTAAAATGACCAGAGGATATAACCCCCAAAACAATAGTGAGGGACTTCGATATATCTAGCATATTTTCCAGTTACTTGTAAGATACCTTTGTAAAACAATTTTGCTAACTATGACCACTTTGTACTAATGAGGCTGATTGACTACTCTGGATGATTCATTGATAAAACAGGGATACCCCAAGAAACCAAGTACGTGGTGAATTGGAAATATGATGGGCTATTACCAATTACATCCAATTACCAAAAATATGGCTGTATACATGTAATGATTTAAATCACTTTATATATATAATATATATAAGTAATTTTTGATATTATTGCATTGTTACATACCCTCTGGTAATTTAACATAACTATGGAAAGATCCACCATTTTTAGCTGGGACAATTCACTCTTTCTATGGTGATTTTCCATAGTTATGTTAGTTTACCAGAGGGTACATATATATATATCATAATAATAATAATGATTATTATTATTACTATTCAAATTATTTTTATTATTTTTAATCATATTTTATAGATTTAATAATTATTGATATTATTGCATTATACATATAGATTTTTGCATTAGATAAACCATGGAGGGCTGGGCATCCAGGCTTGGTGCACCACTTCTGTCAGCAGGGCCCGGTGCTCACCTGCGGCCGTCGCCTCGAGAGCTTGCGCCAGACGAAGGACACGGCGCCAACGGCGCAGGCGGCGATGTCCTGCGGTGGTGAAGCCACCAGTAAACTAAGATAGCTATGGAAAATGCACCATAGAAATAGATGATTTATACCTGATTTATAGATGATTTTTATAGATGATTTACCTATGAAATATGATTTAAAATTATGATTTCCCATAGCTATGTGAAATTACCAGAGTGCAATTGAAGAGGTCCTGGATTTTTGGGATATGAATGGAGTAGATTCATGAGATTTGAATGGAATATTGGTTTATATCACTTTATCTCCACTCGTGTTTTTTTACAGTTTGTCATGGAGAATTGATTGGAATTGCATATTTAGTTCTGATACTTTACTTGTTCTTTCCCATAGATAGCTACTTCTTGTTATGTTCTTGAATTGCCAGAGGTATCCAACAGGAAGATACAGAAAGGGGGGATACACAACCAACTCTAATGTCAATGGATTGGTTTAAGGGAAAATCTACAGGAAACCATAGATTTTCCCAGTAAATATGGGGCTTTCCTGTAAATGTTCCCTTAAACCAATCCATTGATAATAAAGATCTAATGTGATTTGGATGACTTGAAATGACCACACTTAGTCACGTTGCTGTGGCGTTCGCGGCTAGAATCATCCCCAAATGGCCGAACTTTTCAGGTTGATATATAATTGCGAACATTATGCAAATGTGATGGTGTTTATTTATAAATATATATATATATATATATTTGGTTGGTGGTTTAGAACATGTTTTTTTTGACTTTCCATATATTGGGACTAATCATCGCAACTGACCAATATTTTTCAGAGGGGTTGAAACCACCAACCAGATATATATATAATTATACATATAACACTCAAGAATACTTTATGTTTTGGGTTTGTCTGAAAGTATGGAAACAACCACTAAGTCATCCAGAGTTAATCATCCGTTTCAAATCATCAGTTTCACAGATGGCCATTTGGGTAACATATCCAATTTTCAAGCACACTCTGTGCATTTATTTTGTGTCTGACACTGGCAGTTGCCGTTATGCCTGTTGATGTATTACATTATTTTGGAAACATATGCTTGATTGTTACATAGGTACTTTTAGATGTTAGATGTTTTGATACTTTACTAGAACAACATGAGCAAGTTTCCGTTCGTTTGTGCAGATGATCGAACTGTTGACCAGGCAATCTCCATCGTGGCATGTGATATCGCTTCAGCTGAGGGCCGCCAACAGTTCGGGCAACCCAGGTGACCGTGGCGACCAATTCACTAGCAGTGTGTATGTGTGCATGTATATATTGTCTATGTTGTTGTGTTTTTGGAATTAGGCATCTATCCATTTATATATTATATATATTATATTATATATATTAATAATAGTATATATAACATATAACAATACCTATGAGATATTGCAATAATATATATATATACATATGATATGTAATATTTATATACACATGTTAGAAACACATTTGGTACAGTTTCATGCATGCTTGGCGGGCATTTAGATTTTTCTGGCAAGAAGGTCCCCCAGAGGCCCGTTACCAACAGTTAGCCTGAATCCAACAGTTAGCCTGGTTACACCCCAACTTACCTATCCAGGCAACCCCATGTTCATAGATCAACATACCATCTAAATAGTCAAACTATGGACCATAGTTTTCTTCTGAAATCTTGTCATTATCCCATGAAATATCCCCATTCTGGGTATACCACAACCCCCATGTTTGGCTTTTGACATCCCATCAAATCCCCAATTAAAACCCATTAAATCCTCAATTGCTCTGAGGCTCCTGGAAGCCTTGCCTTCTGAGGTGCTGTCTGAAAATGTTAGGATATGTTTTTGTTGGTGGTTGATGATTGTTTTCGGGGATGTAGTCATTTATAGTCATTTTAGATAGGTTTCGGATGCCTTTTCATAAATTTTGGGGGATAGGTTGGAACGTATCGAAAGTACATTCGCCAAAATATTACGCGTATTTGGCTGATTTTCAGTGATGGGAGAATGTTCGCAAACCTTGCGTCAATTTTTTGGTAGGTGGATGGTGAATAGACCTCTACGTTATTGATCATTTGGTCACGATGTGAAAGAACATCTTGATACAAAGCCAATCTATTCTCTAATTCAGTCCTCGCTTGTTCACTTCTCTCCAACTTTTCGACGTTGTGTTGTAGCTGACGTCGTAGTCGTGCCTCGCAGAGCTGGTCAAGGCCAAATTGCAAATGGAAAAGAGCTCAGAATAGAAATAAAACCTCAATACAGGAGAGCCTGACCTCCCAAAACGGCGATGCCCACAGGCGCCTGTGCGCCTGTTGGTGCAAAACGCTGCCATCGGAGACCCTGCAGCGTTTGAGCAGCTGGATCTCAAGCATTTTGAGGACCGGAGCTGAAGATTGCAGGTGGAAAGAATGATGTAAAGTAGAAACCCAATGCAAAAAACATTGCCACTGCCACTGACTTACCATAGATGGGTGGCACAAATCATCTCCAACTGGTGGTGTATGGCTGGGTTTAGCACATTATATGACCACGCTGGTAATCAAAGGTGGCAATGGGTATTTCACCATCAGGCGGACTACCAGTGTATTGCCCATTGTGATGGTTACCGACATCCTACTTGAGTGGAGAACCCCATGAAAATTGTTTAGTCACGGAAATGTGCAAAAGAATGCAGTGCTTCTGTTTGGTCCGCTTTTTATGTGGAGACCTTTAGGCATGTTGACGATGGAGCTCCGCGCCAAGGTGCAGCATCTGAGATATCCCTCCAACCAGCCCTATCACCTGGCCGCCCATCGTCGCGCCTGGCTAAAAAATGCCCAGAGAAATGATCAATGAACGGAAGGATTCCTAAAACATGAATAGCATTAAATATACGATATACGATTAGTTGTAGTTCACCGATTAGCGAACAAAACAAAGATATTTACTGTAAATAGATTGTCTTATTTATATCTATTTACAAAATTTTATAAACTTATTAACCCGAACACCCCAAGATTTAAGTGCAAACATTCCAAGAACAATCATTGGCAGCTCTATGGCGGCCGCACAGGATGAAAATCATGATGAAATCAAGACCAGCTGGTGTTTCCTAAGATTTTTCTGGCTAGAACGGCTCACTCTTACGACTGGGACATTCTCATGGTCAGTTGGCTCACCCACTGATCAGCTCACTTTGCAGTGTCATCGCCATGGGCATCATGCGGCTACTGCTGCTTTCCATCCCAGAGCCTCGGCCCGATGAAACTGTATACATATCGGCCATAAATCCCGGATGATCTTATTGTAATCCAACTTACCTATTTAGGGGGCCCTTCTTGTGGAAAACGGTAACATTAAATTGATCATTATTGTGGTTTGGATGTGGTTCAAGTTGTCACATTTCGGACGGGAGTCTGTACGCCGCCAAATCTTGAAACTGCATGCCACAGGGTGCCACATGTGCCCTCCCAAGATACAGGCAGCTGGTTGACTAGATGGATGTAGCCATACACAGCTATGAGATTCGTTGCATTTTTAGTGGTTTAGATGTGTCCTACCACACATTTCTTCTACTGAATTGTGAACTTCCGAAAAGGGGGCCAACAAGCTCCGACAAATCACATGTATTCACATGCTGTATGTACGAGTAATGCGTATTCGTAGTTGTAGCCTTTTTTGGTTTTTGTGAGATAATAACCTCAAAAGATCGAACAGCAAAATCCTACATAATAGTGGTGAATTACTTTTCTATATTTTTGCTGGGGTGACGCTACATGTTACCCTCCTTTAAACTTTAACATGGATGTGGAACAACCACCTGTAGATCATTTTCGAGGGTTTCCCCATGGGTTTTCCAGGTCTTTTTCTATGTTTTCCCTGGGGTACCCAGCCAGGTGCTGTTGCTGTCCATTTTCCTGGCCCCAGATCCATCGCTGCTGCTGGGCAGCGACCTGGGGCGCCTGGTGGTCATTGCACGGTGTATTGGGAAGATCTTCACCTTCATGTGGCCTGGCTGGAGATTTCTGGAGATTTCTGGATCCTAACCCGGCCTGGTAAACTAACAGTTTGCTCTGAAAAATAACCATCTTTAATAGGTAAATATCAACTATTTCTATGTGCCATTTTTCAATAGCTATGTTAAATTACCAGAGGGTAGCCGGTAATTTTTCACTATAGGCAACCAGGTAGCCTCTGGTAATTTAAGTTATAGTTTGCGACATAGAAATTGGCCCATAGAAATAGTTGATTTACCTATTAAAAATGGTGATTTTCCATAGTCTTGTTAGATTACCAGAGGATATCCATAAAATGGGGAGATGATGAGGATCCTGATCACCAATGATCTGGTTTTTGGCAAAAAAAGTATATGTTCTTTGGCCTTTTGCCAGGTGACCCCGAGATTTTGACCAGACATCTCCATCGCCTATTGCGAGCAGAGAAAATGCCAGAATGCGCGATAACATATCTATACTGTGAGATAGAATGCCGAATGCCAGATAGAATGTCAGATACATGATAGATAGAATGCCAGATCAAATGCCCGAAAAAAATACATATGAAATGTCAGATAAAAATGCCAGATGAACTGTCAGAGTGTATGTCAGGTAAAATGTAAAGCTGTGTGTTAGAATAGCATAGAATAGCGGATCACTCAAAGAAAGCAGTTATGTTGAACCATATATGGAAGAGGATCGCCCACTGACGGGCATATTTTCCAGATGGGTTGAAACCACATGGAATTCTTTTGAGGAATTTGAAATATGGGCGAATTTGATTGGGATGTTGAAGGGGGATTGAATGGATACAATGCAGATAGATAGATCTATGGATAGATAATGGGGATATGACCAGCAGTATGGTTGTGGTAATGTTTTTTTGGGGTGTGTTTGAACATGTATTTACCCAAATGACCCAAGTAGGGATCGTGAATAATATTCGTCAGCGGTACCCTTTTTGCAGACAAACTCTTCCAATCAAGATATACTATAGGATCTCACTGGAATATTGTATCTCCAGCTGGGTTGGCGGTGTTTGATAGTTTTTTTTTAAAAAAAAATATATATATATATATATACGGTTGTTTTTGGCATGCGGCTGATACGACGCCCTTGGAAGGGTTGTTAATTTTGAGATGTGCCATTTACAATCTCTTGGAAGGGTTGCAAATTTCAACAATGAGGCTTTCCGAAATGGGGGTATAGGATTTGATGTTTGGCGTCTTTAATACTTTAACATGTTGCACATGCTGTCGTATGATCATCAGGGGGGTGGGGGGGGTATAATGTATAATATTAACGTCCTTGACGAGCCAGAGGTTTTGCAGCCAGTTGTACCAAGGATTATCCCCACAAAATTTCAAGATGGCCCAAGTCAACCACAAACAAAATATTTACTAAGACTTATCATTTTCGATGTCTTTTGTGGGGTAAATCCTATAGAACCATCTTTGCTGGTACTCAACAAATGGATGGAACATGGAAACACCTCAAAAAATGGCGACCTACGTCGATGCTACACAAAAATCAACAAGTGTACAAAAAAAGATACACTTGGCCCTACAGCTGGACATGGCGTCACAATGTCGCCTAGTTGCAGTCTGCTTCTGCGTTGCCACAAGCGCTCTGGCACTGAAGCGTCGGGAAGAGGAAAAACTGGATGAGTGAATGTCGCCCTGATATGATTCGGATGATTGAAAATCATAGGTTTCTAATTTATTTGACCCTTGAAGAGCAAAATCGAGTCACCGCGCAGGCGAAACGCAAATTTTCACTCTTGAGTCACACGCCTGCCAATCGAAATGAATGTCCGTGTTGCAAACATTTTTTGACGACTCCTGCAAATACCAGCATTTTGTCTCTTAGCCTCAAAAATCAGAATTTTAAATTCGTCACCCTTACAAGGGCGCCGAGTCAACCGGTTGCCTTGTTTTCCCATCCCAACCGCGATGAACACCGTTGGCTGACCTTCCCACTTTCATGGCGGATCGGCCCGGAGGCGTGGCCAAAGCGTTTCAGAAACGCTTTTGTTCCCAAGATAGGTGGGACATGGTGGGAGGATATTGTTCACCTACTATTTCACCCCAAAAATCTAGGTTTGTTTTGCTGGAATTCTGCATGTTCAATTCCCAGAAGGGGGTGCCGAACGCGCTCGAGGTTTGCCATTCCCGTGACGAGTGTTCATCCGCAGTTTGATGCTTTGGAGCATGTGCCTGGTGCAGATATGACCCCACTGAAGTCGGTCGGTTAGGGGCAACTGGGATACTTATGGATACTCGATGCATTTGAGGATCTAATTGGGATGCACCACAAAACATATTCAACTAATATATAAGAAAGATCATGCTGTAACATGTAACATGTGTATCTTTCATCCCAACTGATATTATTTGTAAGTGGGCTTGAAACAGGGGTCACGAAACCGCAACGCATGTGCCCCTTGGAATCCTTGTCCTAGTGCTATCCCCCAGCTGGCCCGAATGCTCAGCGCTGAGCTCCGTTCCAAAGGTGATGAAAAACCTCAAGCAATCGACTCCCAGCGATTGCCTGTCTCGTGTCATCGATCTGGTGGACGACTATGGCTGGAACCGGGGTTTCTTGATTAACGTGGGCGATGTGAAGCTTGGCTATTCTTGTGTGACGCTGGGGTCCAGGAACTCAAGTTTTCTACAGCTGATTCGGGTTGAAGCTGGGCAAACTTGTGAAATTTATGTGAAAAAGGATGGAAAACGAATCTCGTAAAGCATGCCCAGCCGAGGAAGGGGAAGGTTGTCGAGGATGCCCTTCAGGCTCGGGTGAAGGCCGGTGCGCCCGTCAAGAGACTTGCTTGCGCTTCAAGCGTCGGTCAAGGCTGGTTGATCTGGTTGGGTCGTTGATAACTAGGTAGACCCTCCAAGCATATAGCAAAATGAAGTAATAATGTACCATACCCATAATTTAGACATATACTCGTACCAATTTTTATGGGTATAGTACTTGGAGGGTCTATGTAGTATCTAGTAAGTCTACAATGGGGATTAGACGCTTCAATCAGGTGGATCAAGGTGGATTGTAATCTGCGTTGGGGGGAGGCATGGTGGGCAAGAGGATGTATATAATGAAGAATGTGGGAGAGGATGTTTGTGATGTGACTCGTCTCAGACGTGACCAAAAACCACATTGGTTGCACGTGCACTTTGTGCATTTACACGCGTTGGAGTTAAGAATCATTATATTATATAATATACAATACATGTTTCTTGTAATTGAGGGTGGGTGTGCGTGTGTGTGTAACATCTGAATAGATGTAAAACTTCTCTCTTTTTCTTTCTTCTTTCCTCTCCCTTTAATAATAATGCAGGGGGTCACCGGGGTCCCGGGGGGGTCGGTGACCAATGAAGACACCTCCCCGGGACCCGTGA